ACCTTCTGCCTCCACACTGACACCCCCTCCGCTCATATTCATACATCTGCAGCCCCAGGTTCGGAATTACATTTAATCAGATCTCAGTTCTCTGCAAAAACTGTCAAAATATCAAGTGAATCCCATTCCTGTGTCTATGAAACAGAAACAATGTATGTTCTAAAGGAGAGAAGCCAGTCTGTCTTCTTTGTGTAGGAACTCCTGCAAAATTCTGTCTCTTATATTTGAAGGCATAGCTTTAACCTGGCTGTCAGGAGTTCATCAGTGTCAACTGTCCATATGCCCCACCTACAGTGATGGACTAGGGTTCCAGGTAGAGCCCCTTCCCTTAGAATTTGAACCTAATCTACGGGAGACAGCTCAGGCTCAGCTTCAAGATCATCGGCTCCGCAGCGAGACTGCCCAGCACGAATCCTCTGTTCCACCGTCCATTATGAAACTGGCCTCAGTTACCTTGACGGTGAAGAGACGTAGTAGGAGCACCCCAACTCCACAGGTAGCGGCTAAGTCTGAATAGGTTTTACATGGCCATTAGCATGGTGGCTGGCCCTGAGACCTCGCTGAAGAGCGAGTACAGCTTTGACTTTAAACTGAGAGAGAAGGATCCACGAGGAAGGGAGGGGGCTTCAGGCGGAAGCAGGATTTGAAATCCCAGATGGCAGGACACTGGCACTGGCGCGCGATTCCGAGGTCTGAGCCTCCGATCAGCTGCTTTTTTAACAATGTGCCTTTGCAGCAAGATGTTCCGACTAGGATCCATTTTCTCTAAATCTAGAAAATCCCGAGGAGGTGTTAAAGAGATGATCTCCAATGCCCCCTCTGGCTCTGGTGGCCCCTGACAAACAGGTAAGAACGGCCTATCTTGTGGTACTTTCCAGCTGTAAGGCCACTCACTGGGGCCTGGAAGGCTCGTGTCGCCAGCACCCTACCATTGCTCTGTGGTGGGTGAACGGAGTGCAGGGTGGTGCTGTGGGGCACCTTGTGTAAGTCAGCATCAGCAGCAGTGAGTAGAAGACGCCTCATGTGAGTGTCTGCATTCTACCTTCCTGCATCCATCCCCACCTTCTAACTTCCTCTTATGATGCTCGACCCCTGCACATCCTAACCTGGCCAAAACCAGCTGCTTTCCCGGTACACAGGAGAACCCAGAGCCAGGTCTGACCTACCAGACTGTGCCTTCCCTTCAGCCTATAGTCCAGTGAAGTCTAAATGAGGGGCCTCCAAAATCCTGGGATGTTTTGGTGGGTGGTGTAGCCTTTTATCTTGGTCATGTTTAGCAAGGACACCTAAAGCTTCTGGTAGTCTATGGGAAAAGCCTGGCTGAGATGGAGCTAATATCAAGACAAATAGAGCCAAACGATATGAAAAGAAAAAGGCTGAGTCCTGGCCACAGAGTTGGAACACCGGCTACGTCTGTCTGAAGCAAGTTTCACCTTAGCTTTTTGTTTGTTTGGTTTTTGTTTTGTTTCGTTTGAGACAGGGTTTCTCTGTGTAACAGTCCTAGCTGTCCTGGAACTATCTAGCTCTATACAGACCAGGCTGGCCTTGAACTCACAGAGATCCGCCTGCCTCTGCCTCCTGAGTGCTGGGATTAAAGGTATGCGCCACCACTGCCCGGTTTAACCTGAGCTTTTAAAGCTGTACAAGCTAATGCCAGCTTGGGTTAGCCTTTCATTTTTTGACTACTTACTCTCTCTCTCTCTCTCTCTCTCTCTCTTTCAGACCCCTGTCTCCCACCTCTCAAGAGAACTCAAGCCTCCACTCCATGTCTTGGCTTCTTTCCTGCCACCTTTTCACCCAACAGGTTATCTTCCAAGAACTCAAACTTTAAGGCCACAAAAAAACCCGGATCCCAATCTTCCTTTCTTCCCGCTGACACCTATATGTTATATGCCTTACCGATTCCCCAATCTTCCTTTCTTCCCGCTGACACCTATATGTTATATGCCTTACCGATTCCCCAATCTTCCTTTCTTCCCGCTGATACCTATATGTTATATGCCTTACCGACTCTTCCTAAAAGGACTTTGACGCTTAGTACTTGGCAAGCAGAACCACAAAAACCAGCTCCCTTTGGCGTAACTCCATCTGAAGACAGGGAGACCAGAGAGTCTTCTGCGGATGAACTGACCCTCGCTGGCTGAGAGACACTCACCTTTCAGCTGGAGGTAGCCTTGAGCCAGATTAACATACGCCTCTGCTAGTTTCCAGTGTGAGCTGCCATAGCAAATCCTTGTCAGCGCCACACAGCGCACAAGCTCCTGGATGGCCTGTTGGTACTGGCAGGAAAAGAAACTGAGGTTACCACACAGACAGCTTAGGACCCGAGAGCCATGAGGCCTACGTGTATGTATATCCACCTAATACGTATTTACTGTTTTCTATGTGCTAAGCATTTGGGATGTGTCAGCGAATCAGACATGATCTGTCTGGGGTGGTAGAGTGTTCATCTGGTTGGATGAAGTAAGCAACAATTCACTTAAGAAGTAAATACAACTTCATGGTGGCAAATATGGCGGGATAAAGCAAAACTAGGTAGAACAGACATTTGACCGCCTCCTGGATGTTCCAGCTAACATTTAGCAGACAGCTGCTGGACGTCCAGGTGAAAGTGGAAGTGGTCATCAAACAATACACTTTAGCTCTCAACTTGAACTGCCTCCGTACACTCATGCCATAGAAACCGGGCAGTGCATGCCTTTAATCCTAGCTCTAGAAAGGATTTATAAAATGAGAGGAGACAGCGCTGAAACATAGTCTCATTTTGAGATTCCTGGAGGCAGGATTGCCATTTTCAGTCGAGGTCGAGGTAAGAGCCAGTGGCTGGCTGGTTTGCTTTCTGGACCTTCATGTTGAACCCCAATTTCTCTGAGTTTTTATTAATCGTGCTTCACTCCAAGGTCTCTTTTTGTTTTCTTTTTCTTTTTTTTTTCAAGACAGGGTTTTCTATGTAGCACTGGCTATTCTGGAACTCGCTCTGTAGACCAGGCTGGCTTCTACCTGCCTCTGCCTACCAATTGCTGGGATTAAAGGAGTGCACCACCATACCCAGCTTGTGTCCAGATTCTTATGTTGACGTCCTAACTCCCTGTCTACCAGAATGCAGTTGCATTTGGAGATGAGGCGTTTTATGAGGATTTTAATATGGAGGTTCCTGGGGTTAGGGAGATGGCTCAGAGGTCAAGAGTGTTTCCTGCTCTTACACAGGACCTGAAGAATATGACTCACAGAACACTCAGGTTGAACAGCTCACAACTGCAAGACACTCCAACTCCAGGAAACCCAGTGCCCTCTTCTGTCCACAGACACACACACACACACACACACACACACACACACACACCCCACCACCAACAAAACAAATCTAAAGATAAAATGAGGCCCTGGGGACAAGCCCCGATCCAATATGGCGTATAGAAGACAGGACTCAGATACACAAGTGCACAATGACCATGTGAGGACACAAAGCGCAGCCATCAGTAGTCAAGGAAAGAAGAAAACGAGCCTTGGACTTCGAGGTTCCAGAACTGCAGGGAAACTGCTTGCCGGTTAAGTCCCTGCACCTGTGGCATTTTGTTTTGATGGCCCTAGCAAACTAGCACCTGACCAAGCATTAGGCTATCAGCAAGGCTAAGAGGCTCTGTGCAGAGACTACACAGGAAGGCTCTGGCTGCCAGCATTACTGAGGGTTAATACCAATTGCTGACATGACAGAAGTCAAATTCACCTAGGAGTTTGACCTGTGGGGAATTAACTTGATTGTGCTAATTGAGATGTGAAGACCTGCATGTAGAAACATAATACAAACTCAAAGGAAGACATATTCTACGACACATTTGGAATATGTGACTCAAAATATCAAGAGCAGCAAAGACAAAGACGACTAGTATTATGGGATATTTTGATCATACTCTGACACTCCCAAGATGGCCAATAAAGTTTACTTTGAATCAGAGGGCGGAGCCAGCTATTAGCTGACCAGAATGAGCCATAGAGGTTTTGGAAGACCCAGGACATACAGAGAGACACAGGAAGAAGTAGGGAGGGGCTTAGAAAGATTTGTGGTCCCTTTTGAATAGAGGAAGGAGAGAGAGGAGGTCACTGGTTGCTTCTCCGCCACTTCTCTGATCAATCAGGTTTTTACCCCACATCTGACTCCTGAGTTTTATTTAATAATAGGACAGTAGAGTAATTGCTTCAGGCTAGGAACCTGCAGCAGACGGAAGAAGGCCAAAGAGATACTGAATCTATACTCAGTGCGAACTCATATCTATTCATGGATCTGCTTGTGTTTTTTCTTTTGTTTTTACAAATCATGTAACATTAGTACATAGGTATTAGTTTCCTAATTTCAATCACTGTGCTGTGGTGATATGGGAGAATATCCTTATTCTTAAAGAAGAGAAATTATTTTATTTAATATGTAATATATAGCCATTTATATTATATACATAGCATTCTTATATATTATAGTATCTATAATTTGTTCTGAGCTGAGAAAATAATGATAGTAAAGAGAAAGAGTGAGCCGAAATGAAACGAAAGATCTAAGTGAGTACACTGGGCCGCGGCTCAGCGGCACAATAAACAGATGAATAAGTGAATGAGATAGACGCTGACAACTCATGAGTCCTAACTCTTTTTAAAGATTTATTTATTCTATGTAGTGTTCTGCCTACATGTACTCCTGCAGGCCAGAAGAGGGCACCAGATCTCACAGATGGCTGAGAGCCACCATGACATTGCTCGGAATTGAACTCAGGCCCTCTGGAAGAGCAGCAGGTGCTCTTAACCTCTGAGCCATTTCTCCAGCCTGAGTCATAACTTTTCTGTCTGAATGCACTTTTAAATTAAAAACTACATAGAAATGGATATTTTTTTTTAAAAAAATAAGTTATACCAGGTGGACCCTGATGAAATGTTGAGATCTTGTGGGGCGCTCAGCTTGTAACTTGCAAGGTCCTGAGCTGATTGCTTCTCTGATCACATGTCTGTCATCTCAGCCCATGGCTTCCTCTCTTCATTTAAGACAGGGCACACTCAAGCCTGCCCTGAAGATTTTCCATGTGTTGTTTCCTCTCCCTTCCCTTCCCGAGGGCTCCGTTCCCTCAGCTAGCTTCTTTCCTCCCTTAGTTCTCAGCTCACTGGCCACGACCTTCTGAGGTCCTCCCTGATGTAAATGATGGACACACTCTATTTCCACAGTGAGCAGCTCTGTCTTACCTATAACTCGCACCCCTTAGCTCCAGCCTGCTCACTGCCATATCCTAGATATCCTTATTGGAACCACAGAATAAAGAAATGCTTGTACCATTCTAGACACAGGAGGGCAGTTCATGCCCTTACACATGCTAAAGGCCTTTGAGCATGAAGTATTAACTTTCTTGTAAAGCCTTGGCTGAGGAGCTGGCCCAGAGCTTACTTAACCCCAGGATTAACAGACAGTAGGTATGGAATAAAAATTAGGTCCACAGCGAATGAACAGGGCTCAGACAGATGGAGTCTAAGTCAGAATCTGCAGGTCCTCCACCTCACTCGCATCTCTAGCTCCTATGTTCCCTCCTTAGTCAGCCCCACTGATTCACATTTCTATATATCCTTCAAAGGAACTCGGCACCCCTGCGTTACCTCCAATCCTTTGTCCTTCCTTTCTGAGACTGTCGCAAATATCCCCTAGCCTAGCACTCTCTTCTGCTTTTATCCATTTTGCACCCCGCCAATGTACAGCTGTGGAGTGAACACTCCTCCGCCCATGACCTTTTCCTGTTGACAGCCCTAAGTCCTTCCCAGGGCCGTTAGAATGCTTTGTCTGAAGAGTGGGCGTCTTTCAGGGCCTGGATTCTATCCCCAGTGCGGTTACGCTGCACTGTGTCGCGACAGTCTTTGTCCCAGAGTTTCCTTCTAGTCCCTCAAAGAGACTGTGCTCCCCCAGGTGCAATGAGAACAGGAGAATTCTGGGAAGAGGAAAGACACAGTCTGTAACCGCCACCCACACTCGGAGGAAGAAAGATGAGAATGCCTCACTGATAAAAGGTACCAAGTCACATGGCTAACACAGACAAGAATTACGGGTTAATATAGGATGTAAGAGTTAATAAGAAACCTGAGCTAATAGGCCAACCTGTTTATACTAATGTAGGCCTCTGTGTGTTTCTTTGGGATTGAATGGCTGTGGGACTCAACACGACAGGAACCTCTGTCAACACTTACCTATCTGCCACATTTGTCCCCAAGGTTCCTGTCCTCGTCTTCATCTGGAGGGCTCCTAACACTGTTTCCAGTGCAGCTTCATCAGCTCCTGTCCTAGGATCCATGCTTTAGTTGCTGTCTGACTTGTATGGCCACTGACTGAACCTGCTCCAGAACTGATCACAACTGCCCTTCTATCATCTCAATCCAACCATACATAAACCCCTCTGAGGCTAGGATCACATGAGGATGAGTGAGTGACTGAGTAACCTCTGTGAGGGGTGGATGGGAACGAAGACGCAGGGAACAAGAACCATAAGTGCATTTGAATGGGCTGCACATACATAGACATTTCATGCAGTCTGTACTATAATCCACTGCAGGTAGGTCTGGCATGTGCTAAAATTCAACATATTATTTAACTCCCTGTTACTGTGATCGAAATACCCAACAGAAACAAGTAAGGAGGCTCCTGCTTCAGTTCAGGGTTTCTGAGGGCTCAGTCTGTCATTACCAGGAAGGTGTGGTAGTCAGGAAGCAGTCAGGAAGCAAAGGGAAATGCCAGCCCTCAGTGTGGTTCTTCCTTTCTTCTCTTTCATTTCACTAGAGCCTCAGCCCATGGGGATGTACCTTAGCCACACAGTCAGCGTGACCTTTAACCTTCCATTACTCCTTTCTGGAACCACCTTCACAGGCACACTCACAGGTATGTGCCCCTCAAGACTCGTAATGATTCTGAATGCAATTATGTTGACAATGAAGATCAATCATTGCACCCCACACTCATGCTAGAAGGCAGGCCCTCTCTCGAGGACTCTCTTGAATCTCACACCTGAGGTTAGAAATGTAGTCCCACCACCCTGCTTCTCATGCTTGTGATGAGGGCTCAGCTCTCAGAGAGCAGGTGCGTGACCTCAAGGCTCCTTACCTCACGGTTGCTCAAGAAGGACTTAGCTTTCTCTTCGCACAGGTGGAGTTTCTCTCGAGGGGGCTGGAACAGCGCTGTCTGGAGCAGCTTGTTCGGGACCCTCTTCCCAGTGTCACTGACAGCAGCAATGACTTCGTCAAGGTGGTTGGACATGGGGACTTCCTGCGATTCCTGCATATTCTCATACACATTGTCCTCTAAGTGCCAAATGAAAAAGAAAGGCGTCAGATGGCCATTTTGGGGGCCACTTTTTAAAAAGTCACATTGTTTTCTCTAGAACTCTAGGTCAAACCTCTAGGAAAATACCAACACTATGACTTCCTTAAAATTAAAAACATTTTATCTCAAAAGGGCATGGTGGCTGGTGCGGAGTTCTTTTTAAAGTTGCAGTCTTATTTCCGCTAAATAAAATAGAGACACCCCAACAGAAATTACGTGAGTCCAAACGATTCGTAATGAAGTCATACTGAAGTGAGTACAAATGAATCGCTGAACTCCAACTGACCTTGAGGCAGAAAGACTGTTGGTAGTCTTTCAATCTGGATAAAATGGATACACACACACACACACACACACACACACACACACATATATCTAAAATAATAAAAACAACAAAAGCAAAACAGAAAAAAAAACCTTATACAGACCAAAAACAAAATGAAATAAAAAAAGCAGACAAAAATGTTACAAAACAAAAAAGGTTTACAAGAGAGGACCCCCGCAATAAGACACTGATTTCCCCTCCTCTTCTCATGGTCCCTCCCCCATCCACTCCTCCATTTCTAGTCAGAAAAGGGCAGACCTTGCATGCATATAGATAAAGCATGGCATATTAAGTTGTAGTAAGATTAAGCTGGGCAAGGTGACCCAGTATGAGGAATAGGGTCTCAAAAGCTAGCAAATGAGTCAGAGACAGCCCTGTTCCCACTGTTATATGTCCCTCAAGAAGACCAAGCTACACAACTGTCAGTTATATGCAGAGAGCCTAGGTCAATCCCATGTAGGCTCCCTAGTTGTTGGTTCAGTCTCTGTGATCACCTATGAGCCCAGGCTGATTCTGTGGGTTTTCTTGTGGTGCTCTTGACAACCTGGCTCCTACAATTCTTCCCACTCTACAGCAGGATTCCCAGAGCTCAGCCTAATGTTTGGCTGTGGGTCTCTGCATCTGTTTCCATCAGTTATTGAATGAACCTCTCTGATGACAATTGAGTGGGCACCAGTCTATGTGTATAGCAAAGCATCATTAGGCATCATTACATTGACATTTTTTTCTCCAGATGTGTTTGGTTCTGTCCTAGGTCCCTGGGTGATCCAGGCTCTGGGTCCTGGTGTTCCAGAAAGTGTCAGAGGTATCACTCTCACGGCCAGGGTCTCACGCTGGACCAATCATTAGTTGGCCACTCCCACAATCTCTGAAGACACTGATTCTTGAGAGATGAAAAAATAAACTAGGTGTGTCATGGTGGCACACACTCGGGAGGCAGAGGCAGGTGGATCTCTGTGAGTTCACAGCCAGCCTGGTCTACAGAGTGAGTTCCAGGACAGTCAACGCTACACAGAGGAACCGTCTTTAAAAAAAAAAAAAAGAAAAAAAGAAAGAAAAGAAAAGAAGAAAAAAGTAAACAAACCAAGACTCCAACTGCCTCAGTTTATTCCTTTGAGTGTTTTCTGGACACAGGGCAAGGGAGAAAGAAGCAAGAAGTTACTAGTGGACTGAGCGCTCAGGAGCCCAAGGTAGGTAGAGCTGACAGGACATTTACTGCGAAGAGAATGCTGCACTGGGCGAGGGTCTGGAGTTCCAGACGAGTCCACTCAGATAGGGGGAGAAACGTCAATCGGTGTGTAAGAAAGATCCTTCTGTAACTTTAAAAAGAAAGTGCCTAGTACCCATTCAGTTTGGTACGGTCTGTCCCCAGAAATTAAACAAGGAAATGAGATAAAATACTTAGAAAGGCATTTTTTCCTTAGTAGTAGAGAATAACTCCAGATGGAATACTGCTTAGATCTACCTGATGAATGAAAGATTAGGAAATAAAGAGTCATGATGAGAACATTCAACTAACATTGACCCCAAATTAGCATGGGTGTTAACAGAAAGACACCACAGTTATTGTAGTGGCATTCCATGGAGTATAAGTCCATGGGAAAAAGCTTTTTCAAAAGACTCAAACTGAAGTCGAAGAGGTGTAATGTGTGAGAGAAAGAATATGTAAGGTAGGGAGTCTACAGGGGTGACAGGTTAGACACGGCAGAGGGAAGCAGAGTGCTCTCCAGCCGCAGACACAGCAACAGAAACTTCCGGAAAGGAAACTCAGTGACTGTGCCCTAAGGCAAGAGCAACTGGTTCCACCTGCAGATGATTTAGGTCCCTAAAGGCAAGCAGGTGGGAGGCCAGTGGGAACAATTCAGGGCTGAACTTATTCCAAACTGAGAAAAGTACAAACCGGGAGATCCTGGAAGTTCAATGAGCAATAAACACAGAGAGACAAAGAAAAGGCAGGGAGGGACATCGTAAGCCAAAGCTGTGAAAAAGAGAAGTCCTAGCAGTCAGGAGAAAAGAAACACTAACCAAAATAAGATAAACCGGGTGTGAAAGTGGCGGTTTGTGCTGGTAAACCCAGCACTTGGGGGTGGAGGATCAGGAGTTCAAGGTCAGCCTCAGCGACAGAGTTCAAGGACTATCCTCTTCCACGTGAGATCCTGCACTAGTCTGCTTTTCTCTTGCTATAATAACCACCATGACCGAAAGCAGCGTGAGCAGGAAAGGGCTTATTTGGCTTATACGTCTACATCACAGTCCATCACGGAGGAAGTCGGGGCAGGAACTCAAGCAGGAATCTGAAGACAGAACTGAGGCAGAGACCACGGAGGAAAGCTGCTTACTGACTTGCTCTCTCCAGCGCTTGCTTGGCCTGCTTTCCTACAGAACCCAGGACCACTTTCCCGGGAGTAGCATCACCCGCAGTCACTTGGGCCCTCCCACATCAACCATGAAGAAAGTGCCCACAAACTTGATGAAGGCCAATCTGATGGAGGAAACTTCTCAACATCAACCGATGGTCCCTCTTCCCAGGTGACACCAGCTTGTGTCAAGCTGACAACAGCAGCAGGAAAACTAGTCAGCACAGCTCAATTAGCAAATGGTGAAGCAAACGCCGGTACAGCAGTGCAGAAGAATACTATTCAACGATGAAAACGGAGTGTCTGTGCTGTGCGAGTGAATCTCAAAACAGCTATGCCAGGGTGGCGGGCAAAAGACAAGCTGTGAGTCTGCTCCTGTGAACCTGACGGAAATCTAAACCAATGGCTGGCCTAAGCAGATCAGTGCTGGCCTTGCCGTGGACTGCAACGTATGGCGTAGTGAAAAGAGGCAAGGAGAGGCAGGGAGGAAAAAGGGGGAGTGGTGTGTGTGTTTGTGTGTGTAATATGTGGGGTGTGGGGGGAGGAATGTGTGTGTGTGTGTGTGTTTGTGTGTGGTGGGGGGATGTGTGGGGTGTGGGGGGAGTGTGTGTGGGGGGTGTGTGTGTGTGTTTTGTGTGTGAGAATATGTGAGGTATGTGTGATGTGGGGGGGTATGTGTGTGGGGGTGTGTGTGGTATGTGTGGGAGGGGTTGTGTGGGGTGTGTGTGATGTGTGGTGTGTATGTTGTGTGTGGGGTGTGTGGGGTATGTGTGGTGTGTGTGGGGTGTGTGTGTAGTATGTGTGATGTGTGGGGTGTGTGGGTGTGTGTGTGGGGTGGGGGGATGTGTGTGTATGTAATGTGTGGGGGGTGTGTGTGTAATGGAGCGATTACAAGGGGGCATGAGGAGCGCTTGCTGTGATGGTCACATTCACATTATGGGATTATGATGGTGGTTTATGGATCCATACATGTCAAAACTGATCAGGTTTACACTTTTGTGCCAGTTAATAAAATCATACATACAAAGCAGCCTTTCAGAGCTATCTCTCCACTCCTCCCATCCCTGCTGCGATTTGTAAAACTCCAGTTCTGTCACTTACTTCAGGCAGCATGTTGTCCACTTAGTTACCAACTCAGCTAACATTTATTAAGTTCTGCTACCAGCCATGTAGCATACGAGTGTACAGTGTGGGAAAAGGGGCCCAGGAAAGTAAAATCTAGCAGGTAAAAGACTGCAGAAACCCGGCGGCTAGTCAGACTTCAGAAATGGGAACCACTGCTGCAGGGGCATTCAGCTAGCCTTTTGTGCTCTGGGGGAGGTGAATACACATCCAGCTAGCAGCTGGATGTGTGGTGTGTGGTGAGCACGGATTGCGAACAGGGGCAGCACACCAGAGCCACAGATGTCACTGGGCCTTCTGCCCAGGATGGCTACTGATAGATGGGATGAAAAGAGGTGGTAAACAGAAACACAGGTTCCACAAAAGGAGGACCCTACACTCAAATAAAGGTAGACGGACCAGGCATTTCACTTAAGTTCTTTCTAAGCCTTGGGATGGCACAGCACCCATGACTTTCTCGCAGGCAGTGCTTTCCCACATTTTTGGCCATGAGGTTCTCCCCACCTTCCCCAGGAGGGGAACCAGCACACAAAGACTGTGTGAGGTGCCCCCATGCCTCTCCCCACCCCTGTTTTATAGGCATGAAGTGGGAGGCTGGGTTTCCAGCTGAAAAGGCACTGATTTTGAGCTAAAACTGTGACGGACTTTATGAAGCGGAACTGGTGAGTGGGAGGGTTTTAGCGGGGCGGGGGGGGGGGGGGGGATGAAGGTGTACCCCAGGTTGAAGGTGTACCCCAGGTTGTTAATCTCTAACTAGCAGACGCTGTCATCGAACTCTGAGCAGAAGAGTGGTCACTGACTTTCAAGCTTCAGACATTCTGGTGCCATCCTTCTACATGCCAGTCAGTATTCAGTCCAGATCCACACTGGCTAACGTTTTCTTTAAACCTATCGCTTCTATGAAACCAAAATGCTGCTGGGCATGGTGGCACACCTTTAATCCCAGCACTTGGGAACTCTGTAAATTTGAGGCCAGCCTGGTCTACAAAGTGAGTTCCAGGACAGCCAGGGCTGTTACTCAGAGAAACCCTGTCTTGAGAAAACAAAACCAACCAAACAAACAAACAAACGAAAGCCCAAATTGCCTACTTCAGATTCACTCTCCCAAATAGTGAATGGCAGCAGTGCCAGGGCACTAGCTACGTTCCCACAGCAACATCAAATACAAATAGGA